AAATTCTCAATCTCAAATTCAGACTACTTTAATAATGAAGCACCCCAGGTGTGGTTTTCAAATATAATTTTTGCGATTTGAGGACATTTGTGTAGGAAAATAATTTTGTGAAAGTAATTTTCACAGAATTATTAATAAAATACGTCACAATTAATGTTAATGTGGCTTATTATATCTGGCTGTTGTCAGCACTGTAAAATTCTTGCAAACTACAAGACTTCTCTCAACTGCAATATTATTTTTGCAATTTATGTGTACATCATCTACTAGGCCATTCAAGACGAACATTTTAAAATTTTAAAATAACAAACATTTAAAATTGTTGCCACAAAATTTTGTCTTGCCTATTAAAGTTTTATTGACTTCATTTTGAAGTTCGAAATTCAGACATGATATTGTGAAATAAAGCGTGACTTAATGAATCAGTGATTACACAGGCATCATTTATTATTCTAGACTGTACACATACATATATCACTGAAAGAGTAATCTAGGCTTTAAATTAAAATAGTAATTAGTACTGCAGTTCTAGCATTGTAATATATACCTGTAGATACTACAAATGTATAATCAGGCTGTGCAATAAACCATTTTCCATTCACTGCAATGTCGCATATTATGTGTGAAATCAAACCAGGACAAACAAAGGCATTGTATTGGCATCAAAACTTTGTGTAAAATTAGCAAAAGTATTTTGGGGATATTTATTATATTTAATGATAGACATTTTGATGAAGTATTAAAGGGTATCTCAATGCTATGAAGTTTAAAATCAAATCATTTTATTTTAACTACAGACGTTCAGTCTGCACCTTTCATGCATTATGTGAGATCTCACAGTGAACGAAAAATCAGCTAATGTATATCTGCAACTCTCAGTTAAAAATGTACTTGATAAATGTTTCTACTTTAAACTTTGTACTAATTACCAGAGCTCATCAGTTTTTGTAACCTGACCTGATTGTTCATCACAATTGATACTTTTGAATGAGGTGTAATGACGTCCTGGCTGTAATGAGGGAGTACTGTTAAATCTCTATTAGAAGCTGCATCCCTAATAGAAGTAGCACCCATTCTTTTTGAACAATTGAGAACCAAAAATTCATCATTTCTCATATGTGCAGATAGAAACCGCATCCCCTCTGTTGCAATATACCATTTCAATAGAAGCCACTGCTTCTAATACAGATTTTACAGTAGTAACAAACTAATGGTTTGTCGTATGTCATTGTGACTGAACAGGTGAAATGATTAAAGAATTTACCTATTATAAACCTGGAATTTTTTTTTGTTTACACGAAGTACTGGTATTTAGTTTACTAGATGCAGTTTCAATCAACGCAGTACTATTATAGACAGCCTATTTAGTCAAGGTCCTGCTAGTCTTCTCTTAATAATAAAATTAAATTGAAGGATTTTACTTCTAAGAATGCATAGTCTAAGTTGGTGTTGCTTCATCACAGATTACCATACCCTTATGGTACATGCTGGTACAAGTACTTACAGAGTATCTTCACATTTTATATCTTGCCAGGGCTATACCTGTATATTGTGTTGATAAAGTTTCATGGGAATATTCACCAGCTTGATCTAAAGTAACAGCCACAAATGTAGTGAATAAAATATTAGACTACTAAGAAAATATTATCCTATTTATCATATGCATACATTAAATATAAGTACCGTAGTCTTTTAAGAAGTCTTGAATGTGTAATATTTTGATGCCCTCTTTGTGTATACAGTATTAGAAGTGCATTTCCAATAGAAAACTGAAATTATCATGTCATGATCATTAAAATGTTACTTTGACCATAGACAATGTATACACTATTTGAATAATGACGCATTTTTATGAGGGCAATATCAGGATTTGTTGCCTACCAAAAGAATGATGGTCATGACCAAAGAGCCAAAGGCATGTACATGACCAACAGCCCGGGGACAGACTACATATTGTGATATTGCCCAAAAGAGCATGTGTTATTTATTTTATCACATCGAATAGACATGTACCATGCAAAAGTACACCTGTACACCTGTACATGTACATGTACATCTCTCACACCCACTCTTCCACAACACATAACACTATTTGACGTATTTATAAACACATTACTCAAAAGCATACATACATTGTACAGTATTTGCTGGAAAAAACTCTGCGAAGTAAATGTTTTTTTCAGCCTGAACTGGGACTTATGTTTTTACCTCTGTGCATCCGTGCGTCCATGCGTGCATCCGAACCTGTATCTTAGAAATGCCTGGATCAATCACAATCAAACTTATGCACATCAATTTGTTTCACGATCTGATTCAAGATGGGCAAATGGTGGCCATTTTTGTGCTAAAAAATCATCAAAATCAAGCATTTCTCGGCTGTTTTCAGATGGATTGGTATATCGCTGGACATTATAGGACCTTGATGCACATCATTTTGTTTTTCAGATAAAATTTAAAATGGCCGATTGGCGGCCATTTTGTTTTAATAAATGTGGTTCTAGTGCCATATCCCTGACTTGCTGTGACTGATTATGTTCAAATTTTAAATATTTATTATACATCATGTCATAGATATACAGATATATTGGTTTGACGATCCTATTAAAAATGGCAGAATGGTGGCCATTTTTGTGGTAAAAAATCATCAAATATCAAGCATTTCTGGATTGATTTTGTTCAAACTTGGTACATACATTAGGCATACATTACGGGTTCCTGATGCATGTTATTTTATTTTTAGTCCCCGTTCGGACGAAGTCCGAAAACAGGGACTTATAATTTGGTCTCCGTCCGTGCGTCTGTCAATAGTAATATTTCAGAATCCTGTGGACCGATTCCATTCATTCTTTGCATGTGCCTAGTACCTTATGTGGGACATATGCAAATGCAGTAGTTTAGCGATTCGATTCAAAATGGCCGACTGGCAGCCATCTTGTTGTTTGAAAATGTTGTATTTTGGACATGCTTTGTCAGTTGTCATTCAAACTTGGTACATAGATTATACATGTTAAGTTACATGTCCAGTACAATTTATTTCGCAATTGGATCAAAGATAGTCGACTGGCAGGCATCTTGTTTTGTTTTTTATGCAGTATCTTGGAAGTGCTCTGTCAGTTTTCATTCAAATTTGGCACATACATGTACTTTATACATGTTAGGATGCATGTGCATGACAATTTGTTTCAAAATCTGGTCAAGGATGGCCGATTGACAGCCATCTGACTTTTTGGCCTTACTACTATATTTCCACAATTTATGTACCATTTTCATTCGTATTTGGCACATACATCATACATATCAGTGTGTTTCATAATCAGATCAAAGATGGCCAAATAACGACTGTTTTTATTTTTGGCTATATTACTACTACACGAAACACGTGTTTTGATGTAAATAAACAATCTGTTGTATACGCCACTTGTTTTTTGTAATTTGATTCAATATGATCGCCCAATGTCCAATTCTTGTGTAAAAGCACTAAATCATAATTTTTTACAA